AAACACCACACCAACAAAACAAACTACATTTCATTCTCGTCGTCGCCTTAAATTGTACCTTTTTGAACAATCCTTTTAATAATGTCTATTTATTCATTAAATGTTGACTGGTTTCTAGTTTTTTTTAATTGGTTATATAATTTTTGGATTTTTCTTGATTTACTTTGTATATATGCATGTATAAATTATTTCTGTTTAGTATGTTGATTTAGTCATTATGATATGTTGTGAACTGTTCTTACTAAATGTTCATGTTACATGGTTTATTATCCTTCGAGAACTTCTAAGGAGTGTGTATGATAATAATAATAATGGAGAATAATTATTTTTATCGGTCGATATTTTGTTATTTGTTTATTTAAAATACGAATTTTTAAAAAAATTGACATTTTAAAGTTTTAATTAACCGTCACTTTTCATTTTTGAATGAATTCAAATAAAAGCAACTATTGTGTTTTTCTTTCTTTACTAAAATCTCGAAATTGTTTGTAGATTTGTGCGGTTAACTGTTTGTTCGAGTTTGAACAGGCCTTGCAAATTTTTTTTATTTATTTTTGTTTATTTGGTTCATTCAATTTAGTTGATTTGATTGGTTGATTGATCAGTTGATTGATCGGTTGATTGATTGACTGACAGACTGACTGGCTAGCTGACTGACTGACCGACCGACCGACTGATTGTTTGATTGATTTATCTCATAGTATTATATACATGAGAAAAAATCCGATTAAGCCAACCTATGGCTTCAGTAAGCCACTGTTTTTCACCTGACAAAAGCAATTTCTGTATTTATACTGACAAAATAATTGTGATATGAATATATTGATTTATTTAAAGCATTATATGTACAAAAAACTGCTACCGTAAGAGTTCTATGAAACCCTGTAAGCCACTGCTAAGCCAACGTATGATTTCAGCAGCCAGTTTCTTATGAGCACCAGCAGAATGTAAAATATTCATTGAATATAATGAAGATAGTTGTTCAAATAACAATTTTGATTTATTTAGGCCGTTTATTTCATAAGCAAACAAATTTTTAACATGATCGAATAGTGTAAAAAAAAATGGTGACTATAGTTCAATCCTGCTTAGCCAACCTTCGGCTTCAGTAAGCCACCGGATTTCACCGAACCAAAAGCAATTTTTATATTCAAATTAACAAAAATAATTTAATAATACATAATTCTATTAATCAATATTAAAATTAAATAGAATTACTACAATGTTTTAAGCATATTAAATCAAGTAAATATTTCATATACCTTGCTCGTTGAAATCCATGCAATTTCGTAAGCCAACAATCCAAGCACGACAAATAGCCCGACCGATAGATCAAATTGATCGATTAGTCCTATTATTCTAGTTATGTGGTTTGGAGGAATAAAACAATTTACTACATATTAAAGAACAAAAATGTTCATTATTTTTTTTGTAAACTGACAACCGAAATTTGTAAAAAATCTCATATTTTCTGCTAAAAACTTCTTAAATTAACAACGCTACAAAGAAGTAAGTATATAAGTATATTATAGTCATGGATATGTCCATGATTATAGCATATAAATATGAATTGCACATTGGAAATTTAGTGAAGGTTACACATTAATATACTAGTATCGTTTCGTATGCCTTACACACCAGTAAACACTATTCACAGGTTACAAACAAACAATACAGATGACAACTTAGTAAATCAGTAATCGTATTATTGAAACGAATAGTGTGTGGACATAGTAATATTTCCTATGAAATCCCCATTTTCCAGAACTTCAATTTCGTGATTATAACGAAATTCGGTAAATCCGATAACTTCAGTCCGACAGTACGGACAAACTCTACTGTACCTCAGACAGGTTTTCATACATTGGAAATGATAAATATGTCCGCAAGGAATTTTCCACAAATAAACTCTTTCATTAAAATCATCTCGACATATAAAGCACTTATCATCGTTAAATTTTCCTTTAATGTAGGGTAGCCTGTAACTTGGGCGATCCTTAAACATTTCAGTGTAATAGTCAGTATGTTTTATTAGGCCTTTAACTTTGATACCTTCAGTTTTGCAAATGATTGAGGCTTCGTTAAATTTCGGACTCACTTCCACTAATTTTAAATAAAAGTTGCTTTGTATATCAAACATGATATCGTAAAGATCTTCTCTTGATACCGTATCAATAGACTTGGACAGCTTACATTCCTCTAGGAAATAATTATCCGATGTGAGCATGTTGAAAAGTTTCAGCATCTGTCGACAAGGTAGTTTATATTTGTCACTGTTCTCCTTTATTACGATCCTGTACGTGTAGATCTTCAGTCTCCTCAGTCTTTCCGAGTGCTTTTCCTTGTAAGTGTTGACTGATCTTTCGAGATTTGTCGAAGCCAAGCCTTCCATCCTCTTGTGACTGCGCTGCTCAAAAAATCAAAATGACGGATTTTTACAAATTTGATATTTTCGGTTAGAAAATTATCTAGAAGAAAAATTAGGCCATAAGCAAGAAACCCCAGGCTC